TAAGAGACATGAAAAATCAAACAAGTCCTAATACAATTAATTGTAATGGTGGATCTCAATATTCCACTGTCACAAAAGGACAGAACTAGACAAAACATTAAAAAAAAAAAAACAACAGTGAAATATTAGAACTGAACCAAACTTTTGAACAAGTGGACAAGTGGACTTAGATATCTATCTACACAATATTCCACCCCACAACATCAGAATATACACAGTGCAATGAAATGGGACATCAATGGCAAAATAAACCATAAGAACTTCATAAACACATAGAAATTAAATAGCACCCTCCTGAATAATCAATGGTTGACAGATAATATTAAAGAAATTAGACAGTTTCTACAATTAAATGATAATCACAACATTCTGGCACTTATGGAATACAATAAAAGCAGTCCTAAGAGGGAAATTTATAGCAGTGAATACCCATATCAGGAAAAGAGTAAGAGCAAATAAACAACTTAATGGTGAACCTCAAACTTCTAGAAAAAGAGCAGGGAAGCCAAAACTTCATACAAGGGAGGAAATTTCTAAAGATCAGAGCATAGGGGCTGGGAGATGGCTCAGTGGAATAAGCGCTTCCCTGGCAAGCGTAAGGGCCTGAGTTCAATCCCCGGTTCTGAAAAAAAAAAAATAAAAAAATAAAGATCAGAGCAGATATTACTGCATATAAGCCTGAAAAAATACAGAGAATCAATGAATTGAAGAGTTGGTTCTTTGATAGATTAAACAAAATCAACAAACCCTTAGCCAACCTTATCAATAAAGGGAAGAAGACTCAAACCCATGCAATTAGGAATGAAAATGGTGAAATTTTCATTTCACAATGGACCCTGCAGAAATCTAGAAGATCATTCATACCTACTTTGAGAACTCGTATCCTAATAAGATGGAAAATGCAGAAGAAACAGACATATTGCTAGATATATATGCATGACCAAATCTGAATCAAGAAGATATATCATTAAAAAAACCCAGTATCAATAACATTGAAAATGTAATTAAAAACCTATTAACAAAGAAAAGCCCAGGACCTAAAGGATTCCCTGTTGAATTCTACAAGAAATTTTGAGTAGATTTAATAGCACTACTTCTGAAACTTTTTCATCATATTGAAAGAAAAGTGATTCTCCCAGATTCTTTTTTTTCTTTTTTTGTGGTACCAGGGATTGAACTACACTTGACAGGCAAGCGCTTATTCTATTAAGCTATCTCCCCGGGCCCCCAGATTCATTACACTGCTAATAAAACCAGAGAAAGATCCAACTGAAAAAGAGAACTATAGGCCAATTTCCCTAATATACATAGATACAAAAATCCTCAATAAGATATTACAGCAAATCATCAATAAGATTATATACTGTGACCAAGACATCTCAGGGATGCAAGGATGGTTCACCATATGCACACCAATATAATGCGTCATATTAGCAGAGCCACACCAAAAACAACATAATCATCTCAACAGATACAGAAAAAGCTTTTAGGGCCAGGGAGATAGCTCAGTGGAATAAGTGTTTGCCTGGCAAGCTCAAGGTCCTGGGTTCGATCCCTGGTACCACCAAAAAAAAAAAAAAAAAAAAGAAAGAAGCTTTTGACACAGTCCAGCACCCATTCATGATTAAAACCCCTGTAGAATACTGAAATAGATGATCTCTTTCTCAATTTGATAAAAGCCATCCCTGACAAAGCACCATACTAAATGAACAAAAACTAAAAGCTTTCAGGAACAAGACAAGGATGCCCACTGTTTCCATTCTTACTCAACATAGTTCTGGAAAATTTAGCCAGAGCAGTTAGACAAGAGAAAGAAATGAAAGGAAAACTGATAGGAAGAAGTTAAACTATCATTATTTAGACAACATGATACTCTACAAAAAACTCCACTAAAAAACTGACAGATTTAATAAACAAATTCAGGAGCATAGCTAGATACAAAGTCAACACTCAAAAATCAATAGCCTTCCTATACACAAAAAACAAACTCACTAAGAAAGAAATTAGGGAAACAACAGCTTTCACAATAATATCCAAACAAGTGAAACACCTAGGACTTTTTCTACTGAAAGATGTAAAAGCCCTCTAAATTGAAAACTACAGTACTCTGAAAAACAAGACTGAATTGGATATCAGAAAATGGAAAGATATTCCTTGCTCCAGTGTAGGAAGAACCAAAATAGTGAAAATGGCCTACTTCCAAAACTGTTATAGAGATTTAATAGAATTTCAATCAAAATTCCAACAGCACACATCTCACAGAATTAGAGAAAAAAATTTTTAAATTCATTTGGAACCAGAAGAGACCTAGAATAGCAAGAGTAATTCTGGGTAACAAAAGCAAGGCAGGAGGCTTCAAAATCCCTGATTTGAACTTATACTACAAAGCTACTATGATGAAAACAACATGGGCTGGGGAGATAACTCAGCAGTCTAAGCCCAGCCTGGCAAGCACAAGGTCCTAAATTCAATCCCCAGTTCCATGTGCCAGGCTGGCCCAGGGGCCCCGGGGATGCCATGCATGCTGCCCCCAAACCAGGCGTGGTGGCTCAAGCCTGTAATCCCAGAGCTGGGAAGGCTGAGACAGGAGAATCACTATGAGTATGAACTGCACAGTGAGACCCTATATCAACAACAACAAAAAAAATTAAGAAATGAAAACAGCATGATACAATCAAAGAAGAAACAGACTCAAGGATCAGTGAACAGATTAGAAGAAGCAGAAACAACTGTAGACATACTCAGCTAACTTATGGTTGACAAAGGTGTCAAATACATTCACAGGAAGATAACCTTTTTAATAAATGGTGTTGGTAAAACTAGCTTTGCACATGCTGAAGATTAAAATTGGACTCACATCTTTTACCATGCACTAAACTAAATCAAAATGGATCAAAGATCTAAATATTAAAAGACACATTAAATATGCTGGAAGATATAAATAGGGAAAAGTTGAAGACACTGGTGTAGGAAAAGATTTTGTGAATAAAACCCTGATCTTACACAAACTATGACAAAGAATCAACAATTTGGACCTCATTTTATTAAAAAAACTTTTGTATAGCAAGAGAAACCAAAAGAGTGAAGAGACAACCCAAAGTGTAGAAAAAAATGTTTGCTAGCTGTTTCTCAGACAAAGGATTGCCATGTAGAACATATAAAGAACTAAAAAAAGAAAAAGAAAAAGGCCAGCCAGATAGCTCAGTAGAGTAAAGCGCCTGCTTAGGCAGAGCATAGCACCCAGGGTTCAATCCAGTATGCTGTGCTGGCCCCGCCCCCAGGGCACTGATTGAGACTGGGCATGGTGGTGTGAGCCTGTAATCCCAGTGCTTGGGAGGCTGAAAACAGAAGAATCACTATGAGTCCAATCTACGTAGTAAGAACCTGTAGACCTTGTCCAAAATACATTAAAAAAAAAAAAAAAAAAAGAATAAGAAAAAAAAAGCAGACCTCCCAAATTTAAACACCCAATCTAAAAATGGGCAACTGAGATGACTACACACTTCTCAGATAAAGAAATGCAAACAGCAAATAAATATATGAAAAAATGTTCAACATCACTGATGATTTGAAAAATGCAAATTAAGACAACACTAAGATTCCATCTCACCCCAGAAAGAATGGTTATTTTTTAAATTTTTTTATTTTTTTGGTGGAACCGGGTATTAAACTCAGGCTCTTGCTCTTCAACTTGCCAGGGAAGCTCTTATTCTACTGAGCCATATCCCTGGCCCTAAGAATGGTTATTATCAAGAAATCAAACAACAACAAATGCTGGAGTGGCTGTGGGGAAAAACTGGTAGACTGGTACAACTACTGTGGCAATCAATGTGGAGATTCCTTAAAAAACTAGGACTGGTGGTGCCACCTGACCCAGCTATTCCTCTTCTGAATATCTTCCCAGAAGGATTAAAAACATCATACCACAACTACATATGTGCACCCATGTTTATAACAGCATAATTTGTAATAGCTAGATCTTGGAAACAACCCAAATGTTCATAAATGGTGGAATGGATAAAAAAGATGTCTTTTTATACTCAGCCTTAAAGAAGGATAAACTTGAGACTTTTATAGGTAAATGAACATAACTGGAGACCATATTCATAAGTGAAATAAACTAGACACACAGATGTGGACAATATATTGTCTCCCTAGCGTGAGAAGCTCAAAGAGTAAATAAGATCCAAAATGTACACTATTGTAGAATGGGAAAAAACTGTTCAAAAGGAAAAAGAAACTGGGTTAGGGGAAAGGAGGAAAGAAGGAAGGGAAAAGCCAAAAAACCCATATATATATATATATATATATATATATATATATGACATAAATATACAAAATATACAATAAATATATTTAAACATATTTGCATACATACACATATATATTATATATATACACATACACACATACAAGAGAGTTAAGATAGCTACATGACTAATTTCTCTACATTCACTGCAAGGAAAGGTTTGTGCTAATACTGTCTGAACAATTAAATGCCTATATCTTATACTCTAAGTTACTAATTTTAAGGTAACAATATGCAATGTATTAATCATTGCTACTCTATTATCTTGTCTTGAAGTTTCATTTTTTTCTCTTTAAAATAAAATTTAAAAAAATAAATATCATCCCAGCACTCAGGAGGCTAAGTCAGGAGGATCATTGTGAGCTTGAGGCCCACCTTGGTTACAAATGAGTCCAATGCCAGCCTAAACTACATAGTGAAACCCTCTTTCAAAAAAGGCAAGTAAATAAATAACTAAATAAAATTTCTGGGGCTGGTGAGATGGCTCAGTGGTCTAAAGCACCTACTTAGAACAAGCTAAGCCAAGCAAAGCAGAGGGACCGCGGTTCAATCCCCCAGTACCACATACCAGCCAGCCCTGCCCCCTGGTGGGCTGAGCTGGTCACACACACACACACAATAAATAAATAAATAAATAAATAAATAAATAAAATTTCTGAGATAGAAAAACTAATGTAACAGGAGTAAGTACCTGCTGAAACTTATATAAATCATTATACTTTTCATGGAAGTCCAAGCTCAAAAGTTCTTTGTGAAGCCCTTCCAAAAAGTCTTGGCTTTCGATGAAGTTTGGGATCACGCAGTGAGGAAAGGGGTCCATGTCCACGACGATGGCTTCTGTGGAAAGGAAAACATTATGCGTGGCTCTCTTCCCTTCTGTATTTTTGACCACCAAGCAACAGCAGAGAGAACACAAAAGGAGATGGTACTGAATTTTAAGAACTCAACACCTAAGGTCTAACATCTGGGGCAAGAATTATAAGCTCGGCCCTTTATTTACCATGCTACCTTTTAAGTAGAGTGAGCTTAAAATACTAGTTTTTAAGATGAGTAAAGGTAGTATTACTAAATCAAAGTTGTTAGCTAGGGTTGTGATACACACATGTAATTCCAGCACTCAGGAGACTGAGGCAGGAGGATCATGATGAGTTGGAAGCCAGTCTAGCTACATAATCAAATTCATGGTGGAAGAGAGTATGCAATGTTTAATTATTGAAACTGTCCTATCAATTTGATTTGAAACTGTCTCATTGCTATTTGTTTCTCAATAAAATTATGGAGAAAAAAAAAATTCATGGCTATCCTGCACTACATAGTGAGACCCTGTCTCAAAAAATAAATGAAATAAATAAAAAATTCTTGCTCTTTTTAGTTCTTTAGTGTAATCATTATTGAACTAAATGTACATTAGATTTTTTTACTTTTTAAATTAATTATTTATTTGATATAGTTCCTAGTGATCCTAGTTTGACTCCTAGTGATCCTCTTGTCTCTGCCTCCCCAGCGCTGCGATTACAGGTGTGCACCATCACACCCAGTTTCAGGGTGGCATGATGTGCCCAGGGTTCCAGGGCCAGCACGGCATGCAGTACTGGGGATCAAACCCAGTCCCTGACACTTGCTAGGCAAGCGCTTAGACCACCAAGCCATCTTCCCAGTCCACATTAGTTTCCCCTCAAACTAAAATAAGAACAACAAATTAAATGAGAGAAACAACATTGGCTGGCAATTTCTCTTCAAACTACCTTTTCTTTTTCCAAGTTACCAGGGAAGAAGTTACTAAACAGGTTGGCATGAGAGCTTCTAATTCCTTGATTTATTCCAACACTGTACTCATCACCTCTAGCAGGCTAAGTTACTATTTATCTAATACAATCATTATCACATACTGTATGCATCTTACAGATGAGGAAATTAAGTCTTGGAGTGGTGAGAACTTACTCTTTCTTCAAAGTACTTAACAACTAAAAAAAAGGGGGGGAAGGGGGGGAACTTTGGAAGAAAATGTATAACACATTAAGCAGAGATCTCATTCTATGAAGTGATAACTTGAAGCTGAGGCAGGAATCCTTTGACAAACGTTCTTTACTTAGGTCAGCAATGTTATGTCATACAGTGGAACTACACGTACGTCAAGACGTGTAAACTCAAGTAGTTGCTCTGGCTAGGTTATTACGCGATAACTACATAAAAAAAATCACATAAGGGGCCAGTCAAATAGCTCAGCGGATTAAAGCGCCTGCAAGCAGGGGCAAGGGCCAGGGGGTTCGACCCCCCCCCCCATTCACCCAGGCTGTGCTGGCCCAGCCGCCAGAGCGCACTGAGATAGCAATTGAGACTGGGCGTGGTGGCGCAAGCCCATAATCCCAGCTCTTGGGAGGCTGTAAACTGTTGGATCACTACGGGTCCAATCTAGTAGTGAGACCCTGAACACCCTGTAGTTCCCTTCCGTAAAAGAAAAAAGAAAAAAAAATCACGTAAGGCTCTCAAGTATCTGTCTATATGTTGTTTTTCCTTATTCAGAAATGCATTCATTGGCTTCTACATGCTTTGGCCTTTTAATCCCATCCAATATCTTTCTTAAGTAAATGCCATTAATTATCCTTTTTTAAAAAAGAAACTGAAGCTTCAAAAGTTAACTCCACTGCCAAGGATCTCAGATTTCAAGATTCAAACAGTAACTTTTATCCTCTCATAAAAGGCCTACACGTTTTCTTCCATGATTTCCAATTCAAACAATGTAGAAGGAAAGGCGAGGCAGAGGGGTCTGAGGTGGCCAAAGTACTTAAATATCTCGCCTACGGCCCCCCAAAGCTGGGCTCGCGTCCTCAGGCTTTTCCGGCGTGTCCGGATTCCTGCGTAGCGTCCCTCCCGCACAGCACCTGGTTACCGTGACTAAACGTCGTCCTGTGGATCCAGGCCTCGGCTACCTGCTTTTTCAAAGTACTCTCCCTGACAGCTTCCGAAAACTCCGCCATCACCTCCTTCTTTCCTCTTTTGCCCACTCTAGCCGGGCCAGGATCGGCGGGCCGCTTCCCATTCATATCTCCAGGTATAGAACCACGCCACAGCAACCGAGACGTTGTTTTCCTCGCGAAACTACCATTCCCAGAATGCCGCCTTTCTTTCGTACCCGGTATTACCCAATACAAGATAGCAAAATGTGAGGAGGCGGAACCCCTACCAGATTTACCAATGGAAACTCCAGATACTGAGGCTATACTACCAGCGATTGGCCTAAAGGGGTTCGACCCGTAGGGGCTCCGCCTCCCTACTTCCTGCCGCCTGAGGGTCGAGATTCACTTCCGGCGTACGTAAAGCTCTCTTGTGCTTTTTTTGTTAATGGCGGGCGGCGATTGCTGAGCGGGACGCGGATAACCTCTGCCCGAACGGGGAAAGTCTCCCCTGCCCTCGGCTTTCTGCTCGCTTCCAGGGCCATAGCTCGCCAGCATGTCTGTGGTACCGCCCAATCGCTCGCAGACCGGCTGGCCGCGAGGAGTCAACCAGTTCGGCAACAAGTACATCCAGCAGACTAAGCCCCTCACCTTGGAGCGCACCATCAACCTGTAAGTGTGGGGCGGCCTTCGCGGGCGCTCCTCCTCGTGAACGTCTGCAAAAGGCGCTTCTTAGAAGAGATTTTCCTTCTTCAAATAGAACGTGTTTCCCATTCTCCTGTATTCTGTCGTTATGGGTAACATGGAAGTTTGTTTTGAATTTATCCTTTCCTTTCCCGTCAAAATGTGTGTTTTAATTCTTTCCATTTACTAGTCTTTCACACAGCCTATATGGTATCGCTTTATTTGAAATGAATGGTATATCATTTTAGCACTTTATGTGGTTCTATGATAGTAAGTTTTCGAGATCTACCTGTAATTCACACATGGTTTTCTTCCTTTAAGCGTTGCCTAGTAGTACCTCGCTTTGTGCACACTCCCACGTTTTGCTCATCTTCTCAGGGCTTGTGGGCTGCCTGAGCGTGTCTCATCTGCGTCAGCGAGGGTATCCCGGGCACCCGTTAGATCCTCTTGGCAGCGTGGACACTGGCTTGGTTGTGGTCATGCATGTTCCGAAAGGGAATAGAATGTTGCCTGTGTTTTATATTCAACACACCTTTTTCTTTCAGCAAGCCTATGCTTTGCTTTTTTCTTGGTGGGGGTGGTGGCAGACACGGGCTTTCCTGATGTAGTTCGCGCTGGCCACAGGTAGTGATCCTCTTATCCAGCTTCCTCTGAGCGCTGGGGTTACAGGTGCTCATCACTATGCCTGGCTGCGAAGCACTGCACAGTGTTACTCTTCAGAGTAATTTCACTGAAGCAAGTAACGCGTGTTTGAGCAGTGTCTTCCTCAAGAATTTGTCGGTATCTTCTTTTTGCCATTTTTGAGTTTGTGAGACATAGATGAACTTCACTCAAGACCAGAAGTGGTTTGAAGTTGAACAGATATTTATTATTGTAGTTTTGCTTTGCTTTTCTTTTGCAAAATAGGTGCTGACTTGGAACTTGAGGTAACAAAATGGTAGGTTTGCCTGCCTGACAAGCGCAAGGTACCTAGTTTGATCGCCAGTACCGCAAAAGAAGAAAATAAATAAATAAAGTCAATGTATAAAATCTGGAAGTAGTTGAGTGTTGTGTGTATAAATTTGTGTAACTTCTTGTTAACTTATATAGTAGAACTTTAATTTCATGTCACTCTTTAAAATCTCGTAAGATTCTCATGAAATGAAAAAGGCGATTTTTGTAAAGTGTAAAAGCAGTTTCTGGGTTCGTTAAGTGATGATTTGAATTAGAACCCACAATTTTGTGTGCACTTTTCTTTTTTGCCTTGATTATTGGTTTAACGTGGAATCATTATGAAAATTTGGTGAAAATGTTGTGCTTTTAGAAAAATATTTTACTTTATTGATAAGTCGTGGACTGATTGATAGTGCTTTCTGAATGTAGTATTGAGAAATAATCACTGATTTTAAGTTAGTCAGCACTGGTGAGTATTGATCACTTAAATTGCTAGTAAATCTCTATCCCTTGATGCATTTCTATTTAGGAAATACTGCATGAATGCCTGTTTGTACTAGGCATTGTGCATAATGTTGAGTGCACAGTGAGGAAGAGGTAAGATGTAGTCCTTGCTTTGGATGCACATGTATGATCATGACAACCTGGGCTTGCTGATGTGGGAGCTGGCTTTTGCAATGGAGATGTGTTGTGTGGCCTTAATTCTTTTCTAATTTAGGCTGTGAGAACTAAGTTTTTAATACATGGAAAACAGTTTTGAAAACTTGTCAGTGCTACTTTGTATGCTGATATCTGCGATCCAAGCAACTACATGGAGGGTAGCAATGTGTAATACAAAACCATGCTTGAGTACCTGTCATCTTGATATCCTAATTGTGTACCATTTCTAATGTCATATTATTACTATACTCTTTAAAATAAATTTTTTAAAAAAGATAAAAAGAGAACAAAAATTTAAGTTTTCTTGAAAGCAGGAGGTAATATTCAGTCATATCTCCAATTTACTTAGCTATATCCATTAATCTGAGCAACAGATTTGGGGATAAAAATAATATATCAACCATTTTTAATCAGGTATTTTTGTTCTGAAAGTTTGTAACACATGTATGTTACCCTGTTTCTGATTTTTGTTTTTGCTTTTGGTTTTACTTCAAAATAAAGTAAAAAGGAAACTTGTCAGTGCTAGATTTAATTTAGTTTTGGCTATGCTGGAGAAGTACTTTATAATCTTTAAAGCATTGTGGAAACAATGTACTTTAATTACTTTAGAGCAATTTTATGCCTAGAGTTTGGCTTCTGGAATTAATTTTTGTTGTTGTTTTAGCAGCTTTGATTTTTCTTTTCTCTTTTCAACAGTAGCTGAGTGGAATAGATATGTAGTTAAGTATAAAATTGCTTTTTTTTGAGAAAGGGTCTCAGTCTGTAGTCTTAAAATGGCTTGAACTCAAGGCAATCTTCTTGCCTCCGCCTCCCAAGTGCTGGGAATACAGGCCTGCACCACTACACCCAGCTTACCTGGGTGGCTTTTGATAAATACATTGTGATATGTCAAATATATCAAATGTGACTAACACATTTTTACCAGAAGGTGTATAATCACAGAGTTATGAAATGTATATATGCTATAGTATAAATGTACTGTAGTATCTTTAAAGAAAAATTTGATCTTTGCTAGGTAAGATGAAAACTTTTTTGATTGTATAAAATGTGTTTTGAGTTCTTGAGTAAAGAAGCACATCTTCAGATTAGAAATTCACATGAGAAGAGAAGAATAAGGATATTGAATAGAATGAATGCAGAAGGCAAGAAAGGCTTCTTATTAGCTTTAGGTTGGAAAGAAAATATAGAAGAGTTGACCTGAAAAGGAAAAGGCTGTGATGTTGGGAAAATTGAGGGTAGGGGCTGGCGAAATAGCTCAGCCGTTTAAAGCACCTGCTTAGGCAGGCGCATGGGGACTGCAGGTCAATGGTAGCAGCATATACTGCTCCAGCCCCATCCTCAGAGAAGGCTGAGCCGGCAAAAAAAAAGAAAAGAAAAATCTGAGGTGGGCCGGGGAGATAGCTCAGTGAGCCTGAGTTCAATTCCCGGTTCTGAAAAAAAAAAAAAAAAATCTGAGAGCAGTTAACAGAGATAGAATATTGGAAAGATGTTGATGTGTAGTGGTGGCTTACCACATAGGGGAAGAAAGAGATTAGCCATTAACACTTATAATTACTAAAAATTTATGATTAGATTAGTAGAGGAACCAGGTTGGTACTGTTGATATAACAGGCATGATCTAAGACCAGAGGATTACTAATTTCTAAATAACCACCTCTCTAAGCATTTAAGTGCTTGCAGGTAGTGTCACAATGCTTGAAAGGCTGGGCTGAAATTTTTGATCTTCGTGCCTCAGCTTCCCATAGGGCTGGGATTACAGGTAAATGCCACCACACCTGCCAAAGGTAGTCTTTTGATCATGTGGAAGCTCTGTTTTTAGAGTCTAAAGAAGATTCTAATTGTTGCCATTTCATGAGCTAGTTAGGTAACTTGGGACAAATTCTTTGTTTCTGAGGACTATATATACATAGTTGACCATGGTTGCATTCTGTGTGGTTGGTATCTGTTGTAGTACATTATGGTCTTAAGTTCTTATGCTAGATATTTTTTGGATCACAGGTACCCTCTTACCAACTACACTTTTGGTACAAAAGAGCCCCTCTATGAAAAAGACAGCTCTGTTGCAGCCAGATTTCAGCGCATGAGGGAGGAATTTGATAAAATTGGAATGAGGAGGACTGTAGAAGGGGTTCTGATTGTACATGAACACCGGCTTCCCCATGTGTTACTACTACAGCTGGGAACAACCTTCTTCAAATTGTAAGTGTTGTTAGGAATTAACATTTAATGAGATAACTTTTACTAAGATTTATGCAACTTTGGAATACAAGTTTAGCCCTTAATCATTTATTTCAACAAATACTGCTGTTGATGGAATCTTTACAAAGAAAAAAAATTTGGTATTTTCTTTAGTGCAGTATTCATTTACTTTCCTAACTAGAAATCTTCATATATCTGTATATTGTTGATGTTAATGATTGAGCTTGGTAGAAAAAAGTACGATAGCATTACTAAGGGCAGTTCTTTAGAATAATGTACAGTTTAGTTCTATTTTATGAACTCATAAAACTTTTATTATATAGTTGGTCCACATCTGTTTGATTATACCACAAAAAGGCCTCCAAAACTTAGGTTGACATTCTTAAGGAATGTCATCTATTCAGAGAGGAGTTAGGATGGATTGGTGGCCAGCACTTATGTTTATGTGTGTGCTGTATTACACATTGTTTTTCTTTAAAACTAAGGTTGTATACTGTTTGGTTAACTTCCCAGCATACTCTTTCCTCTCATTATATTTGTTAATTTTGAATGCCTTGTCATATAGTGATTTTTTGTCTTATTTAGTTGCTTATTGGAAATATTAATTTGTTCTTCCTGTTATCCCCAAATTGTATTAAGTTGAAAGCTGAAATTCTTAACCTTTATACAGACCTGGTGGTGAACTTAACCCAGGAGAAGATGAAGTTGAAGGACTAAAGCGCTTAATGACAGAGGTATTTTTCTCCTTAGTCATTTTGACAGTTTTATTGCCTATCTGAATACTACCAGCTTTTGTTGTGTCTTATGAAAAAGATAAGTTTATTTTGTATATTTTGTTTTCAGTAAATACAACTGAAACTCAAGCATTATTAGTATAGTATTTATCTTACAAGTTGAATTTACACTTAACTTGTCTTAACATTTTAAAAATGCAAATATTGGCTGGGGAGATAGCTCGAGTCTAAGCACCTGCCTGGCAAGCACAAAGACCTGGCTTTGATCCCTGGTACCATATGTGTACTGGCTCTGGAACCACAGACGTGCCACACCAGCCACCAAAGCCAGGCGTGGTGGTAAGTGCCTGTAATCCCAGCGCTAGAGAGGCTGACAAGAGAATCACTATGAATCTGAGCTGCATGGCAAGACCCTGTACTAAATAAATAACTAAATAAATAAATGATTTTTAAAAAATTAAAATGCAAATGTTCATGTAACAATGATAAATAAAAATCTAATATGTACTAGTACTGTGCTAGATACTATTCTAAGTTCTTTACTTGTAGTAACTTGATTAATTATCACAGTTCTTGGAAGTAGGCATTGTTATTATACTTACTTATTTATTTACTGGTACTGGGGATCGAATTTGGGACCTTGTGCTTGCCAGGTAGCCACTTAAGCTGCTGAGCTATATCCTTGGCCCAGAAGTAGGTATTATTAATCCTGTTTTATGGATAAGGAAACTGGGATAACTTGATGTTATAACAACTAGTGTGTAGTAGAATTGGAGATTTGAATACTAGCACTTTTGTTAAAATTAGGCCTCTAGAATCTTAAGAGAAAGATTTCGTAGTGTTTATTTTCATTTTTGCACATATTTTCTAGATTATGCCCAAATTGTACTCTTTTAAAGTCATTCCAGTGTCTGCCTCTGAAGAATTGGAACCAAATGCCTAGATACTGGAAGCTTTTGAGATGGTAGTGTTTTCATTAAGTATTTTTAGATTGTAACATTTAATCTCTCCCTTAATTGTAAAACTAATAATACTATCTACAAAAAAGGTACACAAAAACAAGGAACCAAAGTCATCTATAATTCTTCCACTATTGACCAATTGGTTTGTTTTCCTAGTTTGTTTTTTGAGTGATTGTAACTCTTCTTACTTGTGGTATAATATCCCTAGGTGGTAGATTGAATCCATTTGCTTACCCTGGTTTTTCTGAAAGCTCACCAAAAAGGCAGGGAAAGACAAAAATCCAGGCAGGCGTGGTGGCACACGCCCATAATCCCAACATTTGGAAGGCTGAGGCAGGAGAATCATCAGGAGTTTGAGGCCAGCTTGGGCTAGATAGTAAGATTTAGGCCAGCCTAACTATAGCGGTCCCTCACTTATTGCAGAGGTTATATTCCAGGCACCCCCACGATAAGTGAAAATCAGAAATAGTGATATTATATTTAAATATTTATATTTTAAGGCTTTATAAACCCTTCCCACATGCTTATAAACCTTTCCCACACTTTTTAAAAACATTTCTAATGTTTTTAACTATTTTCTTTTTTAATCTTTTATATATTTGGTACAGGGTCTCACTATGCAGTTCAGGCTCGTAGTGATGCTCCTCTCTCAGCCTCCCCAGCACTGGGATCACAGGCTTGCGCCACCATGCCTGGTTTTGGTGGCTGGTGGCATGGCCTGCAATACTGGGGATTAAATCCAGGCCCTTGTGCTTGCCAGGCAGGCACTTAGACCCCCAAGCTATCTCCCCAGTTGTTAACCATTTCTTATACTCATAAACTTTCTATGTATAAATTTAATAACATATGTATACTGTACAGTACTACAAAATCTCATGATAGTGAAAAATCCACAATAAGTTGATTAATATTTTTTGAAAACCCACTAAACAGTAATTCCTCAAAAGTTAAATTATGAAATAGTGAAGGACTACTGTATATAATGAGACCCTGTCTCAAGAAAAAGTAAAGATAGATAAATATCTACCGGGTGTGATGGCACATGCTTGTATTCCCAGCACTTGGAAGGCTGAGAGGATCACAGGATCACCGTGAGTTCAGGGCCAGCTTGATATAATGAGATCTTGCCTTTAAAAAATAAAATAAAACAGAAAGATGTGGTAGGATTGAGAATGATTAATGAGACAATCACAAGAAAAAAATGAAAGCTGAAAAGCAGTTGGGCAAATCATAACCTACTGTCTTAGTTACTTTTCTTATCATTGAGGCAGAATACCTAGTAGTACCCACAAGTTAAAAGAAGGAAGGTTTATTTTTTATTTTTATTTATTTATTTTTTATTTAGTACAGGGTCTTACTGCAGATATCTAGACTTGTAGTGATCCTCCTGTTTTCAGCTTCCCAAACGCTGGGCTTACAAGCGCATGCCCCATGCCCAGTCTCAGTCACTGTCTCAGTGTTCTCCAGGGGCGGGGCCTGCAAGGCATGCTGGGATTGAACCCTGCTCTGCGTCTACCTAAGCAGGAGCTTTAATCTGCTGAGCTATCTGGCCAGCCCTGGAAGGTTTATTTTACCTTTTAGTTTGTAGAGGTTTTAGGCCATAGTCAGCTGGCTCCTCGCCAAGGTGGCATTGCAGAGAGGCATCAAGGAGAAGAAATAGTCTGTGGCAAGGTAGGCAGGAGACAGCAGAGTGGCAAGGAAGCAAGCAGTAGTAGTGGAAGTCATTCCTTTTTGTTCCTCGCAGGCTGCATGCCTCATTTGTCATTGCTGCCTTCTGCCAGCCACTCTGTGGACCTAAGAAGTTAGAGTGAGGTCACAGTGTATGTTAATTCTTTCCTTTTTATACCAAGAACTGAACTCAGGACCTTGTGCTTGCCAGGGAGGTGCTGTGTTACTAAGCTGTATCCCTAGCCCAACCTATATTAATTCTTTTGACAGATACTGGGTCGCCAGGATGGAGTCCTGCAAGACTGGGTCATCGATGACTGCATTGGTAACTGGTGGAGGCCAAATTTTGAGCCTCCTCAGGTGAGTATGCAATAATGTTTTCTGCGCGTTTGGGCAAATAGTTGATTTAATTCTTAACATTTAAAAAATGACCAGTAATTCTATCACTCAGGAGGATCCTTTTGAGTTCAAGACCAGCCTGGGCTACAAAGTAAGCTCAAGGCCAGCCTGAACTGCATAGTAAAATCCTGTTTCAAAAAGAAAAACAAAGATAGATAAAATGCTTTTAATAATAGACTGCAAACATAGTAACTTGAAATTTCTCCCTCACTTAATGCCCAACCATATATTTTCCTGTTAAGGGAAGGTTTCAAAAATAGGTGAAAGTAGAGAGAATAGTAATAAATCCAGTAACCTATCATTTAACTGTATAGTTAACAAGTCACAGTTAAGCATATCAGCTCCCCGATGCATAGTACTCCATTTATCCCGCCCTTACCTTGGGTATTTTTTTTTTCCCATCACAAATAGGACTTTATTTATCACTATTAAAAATCTAGATCTTGGGCTGGGGAGATGGCTCAGTAGATTAAGAGCAAGGACCCAAGTTCAATCCCTGGTTCCGTCAAAAAAAAAAAAAGTTTAAAAATCTGGACCTTAAACAGACTCTTGGACTGGTGGTTGATATCCATGAGCTTATTCAACTTTAGCTCTAGTATCCTCTCTAGTAGCCTTTCCAGAGCTGCTACCTTCACCATGAAGCTCCATGGGTTTTCCCAGTTCAAACTTGGGCTTCTTCAGCACTTTTACTTTTCTGACGAAGACATCATGAAGAGGGTAGATATACTGGCAAGCTTTTTCTATGTTTTTCTCAATGCTGTCTTGAGTCAGTTTATTGACCACTTCCTTCAAGTCATTTGTTTATACCTCTGGGGTCATGATTTCCATCATTTTCTTCCGGATCTGATGGACCTGCTGGTGCTGAGTGTAAGAGGTCTTCCGTACCGGATCGTTGCATTTTTTAGAAAAGCCAACACAGAACAGTCAAAGCAAATAACCATCGGTAGTCTTGGCATCAACCTGAGCTTCAATCATGGTCTGCCAATTTTTGACCATGGAACACATTTTGTCATGGGGGAGGTCCATGCCATGGAAGTTAGTCAGGCAGTTTTTGCCCCAAACATCTTCAGTAATGAGCTTGACTTTTTTAAAGGCAACTTCATCATTCTGCAGATCAGCAAGGCTCACTTCAAACACACGACCTTTGAGCTCATCAGATGCAATTTTGGTTCCTTGAGCTCTGGTGATGAGTGTTTTTCCAATATTTCTTATGCTGAACATAGCTGGTGCCTTCACATTATACCAGTCTTTTTTAGAAAAATGGATCAACCATTTTCTTCTTGGATCCTTTTTTGCCACCTTTCGTAAGGCACTTGTTCTTGCCTACCGCCAAGGTGCTGCTGAGAGAGCCAAAAGGCACCTTGGTTATTTTGAAGCAAGTCCATTTTAATATTTTAGGACTAAGGTATTTCTTAGTGGTAGGGCACTTGATTAAAATGCTGGTTTTGATCCCTGGTACTGAAAGCAATCAATTCAAAATATTTTAGGTAAGGATTTTTTTGCATGTTTGCTATGCATAATGATTGCATTCATTTTGGGGGCTTAACACATACACATAGTGAATTTTTTTTTTTTTCTCCCAGAACCGGGGATTGAACTCAGGCCCTTGCACTTGCCAGGCAAGCGCTTATTCTACTGAGCTATCTCCCCAGTCCCCACATAGTGAATTTTGATCATCTTTACTCTTTCCTCATTTCCTTCCCATTCCCATTTTAAATATAACCACATATTATATTATAATGCTAAAATAATTTTATAACATTATATAGTTATTTTTCACATTCTGTGATTGTTTCTATGTTTGGTTTCCTGTTTGCATTGGGGTAGTCTTTATATCTGCAAGTTGGCTACTTCTTTTTTCTTTGTTTTCTTATTTTGCTATATTTACTATTTTCATATATCCTGATTTTTATATATAATATCAATATTATATATATTATATGTAATATTATATAATAAATATTAAATTTATGAATATATAAATTTATATATTTATATGTCTGTTTGAATTAGGAAAGTCTCTTTTTGGTCTACAGGTTGGTTATCTTTTTCTCTTACATGTTAATTGAAGACTATTTGAAGTGTTTCTCCTGTTAATTGCATTTTCTTGCCACTGTACATATAGCTCTTTGTCCTGTATGTTCTGTAAATTGATAATTAGCGGGGCTGGTGAGATGGCTCAGTGGTCTAAAGCACCTACTTAGAACAAGCTTAGCTAAGTTAAGCAAAGCACAACGACCACGATTCAATCCCCCAGCACCACATGCCAGCCAGCCCGCCCCCTGGTGGGCTGAGCTGGCCACACACACACACAAAATACATAAATAAATAAACAAATAAATAAAAATTTAAAAAAAAAATTGATAATTAGCTTACAAGATTGGGTTCAGGTTTATTTAACAAGGTTGGGATATGGGGGGTGCAAATAAGACTTGTCATGTGTAATATATTATTTGTTGTGATATACATAGCACATTGCAGGTTGAACAACATCCCTAATACAGACATCTGAAATCTCTGGTTGACAACAGTCAGGCATGGTGGCTCCTGCCTTAGCTTGTTGGGCTGATCAAGAGGACTACAAGTTTGAAGTTAGTCTGGACAATGTAATAGGATTTTGTCAAAATAGAATAACAAAAGGGAAACTGTCCTAGCACGTGTGAGATCATGAGTTCAAGCCTCAGTACCACCAACAAAGTTTTGGACTTTTGAACTTTGGCTTTTTTAATTAGATGTGCTTATCTTGGTAATGTCTATGCAGAATTCTAAAACCTGAAAAATGCGGAAGTTTGAAATGCTTTAAAAAAAAAAAAAAAAAAAGAGAGATGCTTTAGTTCCCAAGCATATCTTCTCATAAGGAAACGTACCTGTATTTAAAACATTTAACATTTTAAACTACAGATATCTTATTTCAGTTTCTGGGGGTCAGGCATCTAGAAGCTATCCTGTAAGATGGTTCCAGTTTAGGCCCTCATGAAGTAAGTCAGTGGTCAGCTGGGATTAGAATCTGATCCCTTGCTCATATGTATATCTTAGCAGACCTCTTAGTCCCTGCCAGCCTACTGGGTTGAAGGCTTCAGTTTTTGCTGGCTATTGACCCAAGATTTGCCTCAGTGACTTGTTATGATAATGTTTTCTCAGAATAACTCCCAGCGAGGCAACTGGCTTCATGCAGTGTGTGTGACTCAACAGACACAGAGGGACAGTGATAGAAAAAGTACCTAAGTGTGAAGCTATGATCTGTTGTAACCCAGTCTTGGCTCAGGCAGACCATCACTTCTGCTTTCACTGTTGGTCATAGCCAAGTACATGGTGGGAGGGATGCCAAAGGGTGTGAATGCCAGGATATGAGGCTCACTAGGGGTCGGCCTAGGACCTGGTTCTCACAGATGGTGATGTGTTCTTCCATCAGAAATGTTTTGATATCTGGGCTGGAGAGATAGCTCCGTGGCATAAGCACCTGCCTGAAAGCACAAGATTGGGGGCTTGTGCATTAGCTTAGTTGTTTAAAGCACCTTCTTGGGCAAATCCAATCAGGCGCAGGGGACCGTGGTTCAATCCCCAGTTCCACATGCCACACCAGACCCACCCGTAAGGCAGCCTGAGCCAGTGAAGAAAAAGACGAAAGCTTAAGATTTTGGGTTTGAAGGGCTGGCCAAATAGTTCAGCGGATTAAAGCACCTGTTTAGTCAAATGTGGTGGGGTTGATCCCTGGGCCTGCTGTGCCTGCCCCGCCTGGGGTGTGCTGAGATGGTGAATGAGACTGGGCATGGTGGCATGTGCCTGTAATCTCAGCTTTGGGGACGCTGTAAACAGGCAGATCACTATGAGTCCAATCTAGTAGTGAGACCCTGAACACCCTACAGACCCTTCCCTTGGAAAAAAAAAAAAAGAAAAAGAAAAAGTAAAAAGATTTTGGGTTTGATTCCTAGAACAAGAAAAATGTAAAGTCAAATAGATGCTTTTATTCCTTTACTCAGCATTTTTTCAGAAGAATGAGTTCATTGCTTAACCTCTTCAGAAGACTTCCCTCAGCATCAAGAACATGACATAGACTTTGATATAGATAGACAATCACAGGAAGTAAGGTGAGGGAGGCCAGAAGCAGAAGTAAAATTAAAAGATAATATTGTTACTCTTTGTTATAGCAGTTTCAGAATAGACTGATCCTCCTCAGGACTGTCACAGACCATGTGGAGTGCTCCTCACAGTTGTCCAAGGGAAAGAAGGAGGTGGGCGGGGACTCCTATCTGCCATTGGCTAAGAATTACATTGACTCCCTTGACCTTTCAGATTGAATCTGAGAACCCATTTAGAGATTTTCTAGGGTTTGGAGACTGAAAAGCAGGGAACTTTCAGATGTATCAGAACATAGCTGTTGTGAAAATCTGAGGGAGAATGCCATACTCTGACACAAAACAAGTGTTTCATTAAAGTGTCAGTATGACCTCATTAGGTATATTTGATACATTTTAATCCATTACAATGATTTATAATGTCAGTACTGCTCAGATTCCTTGCTTCCTTCCTTCCTTCCTTCCTTCCTTCCTTCCTTCCTTTTAAAGATAAAGTCTTGTTATGTAGTTCAGGCAAGCCCTAAAATATGCCAAGGCTAATTTTCTTTCTTTCTTTCTTTTTTTTTTTGTTTTTTGTTTTTTGTTTTTGTGAAACCAGGGATTGATCTCAGGCCCTTGCACTTGCCAGGCAAGCGCTTATTCTACTGAGCCATCTCCCCGGCCCCTGCCAAGGCTGATTTTATGTAGCCAAGGCTGCCCTCAAACTCAAGGTGATTCTGCATCAGCTTCCTAAATGCTGGGATTATAGGCACGAGCCACCATGCTTGGCTAGATTTTCCTACTTTGGCTAGTGAGGGAACATTTTATAGTTGGATCCCAAGTCCTTTTGATAGCTCAGTGATAAAGCTTTAAGAGACTGCATGGCTAAACTGTGATCCAAAACACACCTGTTTTATTGCAAAGTAAATACTAATTAAACCTAAATACTGTATTGAGGTTTTAGTTTAGAAAAAACAGCATTCGGGAGGCTAAGGCAGAAGGATCATGGAGTTTGGAGCCAGCTTATATTACATAGAGAAACCCTGACTCAGAAAGCTGAGGGGAAAATGTACACCAAAAGAAAAAGTAATAGAGCTTTCAATGATACAGTCAGCTTGCTGCAGTACATGTGCCATAGGTTTGCTACCGCTTTGTTAGATCAAAAGTTCTAGTATTAGGTATCTGCAGGAAAAAGGTCAACATCATCTCCTTAGCTTGGCCTTTCCATATAGTATAGTTGGTTCACACTGGAACTGGTTTTTTGTTTGTTTGTTTTTTAGGTGTTTGTAACCTCAAGTAGAAGAATACCTAGATAGGTTTGGTCATGGTTTGGAAACATGTTTGTGAAACAGATTTTTTTTTTTAGCATGTGCCATTCAAGCTGTTTCTCACCTCTGAGTCTCTGGTGCTTGTATGCCTCATTTTCATGATCGTGAAGGGACCTGCCAGTGCCTGGCACGGGGGCCTCAGTTTTTCGTTCCTTAGGGCTTACTGGTATATACTTACCCTAACTTGAATACTGGTTAGATGCCAGTGGGAAATAACATAGGCTTCTTTAAGTAGATAAGAGGTAAATAAATCCAAATGAATTTTGGATTAATTACTTAGCACAGTACTTGGGAAAAGTGCTTGGCCTCTTAGCCGATAGCCGAAATTCCTGTATAAAGCGGGGATGATGGTATACTGCCTTTGCTAGCTTCTGCTTTTATTCCACTCCCCATTCATAGTTACTGGAAGTACTTTTCTCTCTACTCTCCTCAAATATAACTCCAAAAGTCAAGTCAATTTCTGAATATATTGTGGGGAGATACTTGAGAGATCTTTATGACACATACATTAAAGGGCTAAAAAAAAAAAAATAACAAAAAAAACTTCTCAGTGTCAAAGTTATTCTCAGCTAGCAGTTTCCCTAATTGTCTTCATCCCTTTAAATACTGTATAATTTTTTTCTTAGTTTTACCAACCAGTTATACTCTGCCCGCATGGCAGAACTCTGCTTAGATCATTTGGTTTTCCAAAGCATGTGCTGGGATGGGAGTGTTGGGCAGAGGAGCAAAGAGCATCTTGTCAAATACTTTACAGGCTATATTTAAACTTTAATATAGTAAACATGTCCACATCAGGGCTCTAGAGCATTTAACCTGGTAGTGATATTTAAAAGCAGCAACATGTTTTTATTAAAAACTCTAACATCTTTTAGGTACTTAGCTCTGGTAAAGGGAAAACTACAAAGTAGTATATTGCTAGCAATTTGCACTACTGCTGGGGAATAAATGTGTAACGAAATAAATGAAGCCCTGGGATATATGTTAAATCATACTTAGGATATGAGGAAATTGGTCTCAGAAGGGCTTATGGTGAAGCTTTGTGTTAGATTTGGGAGCATTTGATACAGGCACTGAGGTATAAAAAATGATAGATCTTGGAAACTACAAATTCTTCTTATTTGTTATTTTAGTATCCATATATTCCTGCACATATTACAAAGCCGAAGGAGCATAAGAAGTTGTTTCTGGTCCAGCTTCAAGAGAAAGGTAAGTTTTTTGTTTTTCTGAGGCAGGGTCTTACTATGTCGTTAGGTGGCGTTGAACTGACTGTGTAGCCTAGGCTGGTCTTTTATTATTTTTTGGGGGGATCTTCTTGAGACAGGGTCTCCTTATGCAGTTCAGGATGGCCTTGAGCTCACTTTGTAGCCCAGGCTGGTCTTGAACTTGTAATGATCCTCCTGTCTCAACCTTCCAAGTTCTGGGACTATAGTCATGTACCACCATGCCTGACCTCCTAGGGTGGTCTTAAACTCACAGTGATTCTCCTGCCTCAGCTTCCCATTGCTGGGATTACAGGCATGCATCACCACACCCAGCCAGTTATTTTGTTTTTGAAGGCAGTTATAAACTTGGAATGTTTTCAAGGATATAGATGTTCAAGTTTTAACCCAAGTTCCTTGAATATTTTTGATTTATTATAAAACTGAAAAATATACCATGTTTATGCAGAATTACTTAGTTTCTCTTAGTTGTATCAATCATGGTAAGGGAAAGAAGTGAACTTAACTGCATCATAAAATACTAGATTATAGTGTTTTTATAATTGTTTAGCTCTTGGTATTTTAATAAAATTTCTCTTGATTCTTAATAATACGGATCTTTTGAGAGAATTGGGCTTTTATCTCTGTCTTAGAGGATACAACTAAAATGTATTAATAAGAATGTTTCCTTAAAAGTTTTTCTCAGGGGGCTGGTGAGATGGCTCAGTGGTCTAAAGCACCTACTTAGAACAAGTTCAGCGAAGCACAGGGACCACGGTTCAATCCCCCAGCACTACATGCCAGCCAGCCCCGCCCCCTGGTGGGCTGAGCTGGCCACGTACACACACACACACACACACACACACACACACACACAAATAATTAAAAAAAATTTAAAAAAAAGTTTTTCTCAGATATAAAATTGTTGATTGATTTTAAATGAAATATTGTTTGGTTTATTTCAGCTTTGTTTGCTGTCCCTAAGAATTACAAGCTGGTGGCTGCACCGTTGTTTGAGTTGTATGACAATGCTCCAGGATATGGACCCATCATTTCCAGTCTTCCTCAGCTGTTGAGCAGGTGTGGAAAGTTGGACTTTTTTTAATCTATAATAAACTGTCAAATTTAAAATAAAGCCACTTGAGAAGAGGTAAATCATCAGTTTTGATGTTTAAGGAAAACACTTCATTCTTAGTTCATGTGTAAGCCATAAAAAGCAGCTCTTAAGTGGTGGCATGATATTCTGGCATTTGTCTGGTTACTTTTCCCAGAGCTGATATTCTCTACAGTTAGGGCTAAAGTCTTTATTTAAAAAAAAAAAAAAAAAAAAAGGAAATAGTTAATGATGTGCAAATATGGAGAGAACCATCTATATAAAAGGAGTATTGAGTCTTCTGGTGTAATATATTATTTTTCCTTCTTGAAAGTTATTGTATTGTTGTTATGTTAATTTAACAGCAGTTCCAAGCTGGGCATAGTGATGCACACCTGTAATCCCACTTTTCTGAGGCAAGAGGATCACTGATTCAAACTTGAGTAATCTAGCAAGTTAGTGAGCAAGCTGGGAACAAAGTCCATTGTAAAGGCTCTGAGTTCAATTCCTAGTAACATCAAAAGAGAAAAAAAATTCCAGTAGTAAAAGGCTTTTTTAATTTTTGGTACTGGGGATTGAACTCAGGATTGCGCTTGCCAGGCAGGTGTGTATGCTACTGAGCTATCTCCCTGGGCCCTAAAAGGTTGTTGACTATGAAATTGGTCTTTCAACTCTGTCACTAGTCAAACTTCATCTTTTGTTCCTACATTTTGACTTTACATTAGGTTGCAGGTTAAAGTAAGGTATATGAAAAAATTACTTATTTAAACTTATAATCATTTATTTTGTGTGCTTTATTAAAGACTTGACTATAGGTGTAATGTAAAACAAATCCTGCAAGATGTACCTAAAGAAAAAAATTTGTAAGTTTTTGATAGGTAGAGATGACCTTTTTTTTGTGTGTGTGGTACTGAGGATCAAACTCTGAACCTTGCGCTTGCCAGGCTGTTGTCTATGTTGCTGAGCTATCTCCTCAGCAGAGATAAACTTCTGATTAGTTGTTTTGGTACTGATTACAGGTACTGGTCATATCTTTGAGGTATATGAACGGTGCTGAGTCATAAGAATATAAAGACAAGTTGGAAGTAGTGTTACACACCTATGACTCCAACATTCTGGGAGGCCAAGTGAGGCAGAGGGATTGAAATTCTAACTCCAGCTTGGATTATTAGTAATTAGTGAGACCCTGTCTCAAAATAAGCAATAAAAAATGGCTGGGGTGTGGCAAGAATATATAAAACATTTTTTCTACCTTTAAGGAACTTCATAGCACACAGTTAATCAAATTTATTTATTTTATTATTTTTTAATGTATTTAGTACGGGGTTACAGGGTCTCACTACAGATTGGACTTGTAGCAGTCCTCCTGTTTACAGCCTCCTAAGTGCTGGGATTATGGGTTCAAGCCACTATACCCAGTCTCATTTGCTGTCTCAGTGTGCCCTGGGGGCGGGGCCAGCACAGCAGGCTGGGGATTGAACCCCATTCCCTACATCTGCCTAAACAGGCGCTTTAATCTGCTGAGCTATCTGGCCGACCCAATTAATCAAATTTAGACTCAGTTTATTTTTAACAGTAAGTGTTTAGCAGACTTTTATTAACATACAAAGTATGAATGGTGAGGGAAAACTGGTATGAAAAATGTTAAAAACGTGGGCTTCGTGGTGATGCAGTCCTGTAATCCCAGCACTTGGGAGGCTGATACAGGAGTATCATATTACCACAAGTTCCTGGTCAGCCCGAACTACATAGTTGTTCTTTATTTGTTTTGTTTTCTTGAAACAGGGTCTCACTAAATAGTACACACTGGTCTTGCACTTCACTACACTGTGTAGCTCACAGGGATTCTCCTGCCTCAGCCTACCAGTGCTGGGATTACAGGAATGCATCACCATGCTTGAATCCTGAACTGCATGTGCTGAGACCCTATCTGAAAAAAGAAAACGTTAAAAATGTCAAGGGTAGAAACATCCAGAGAAATTTCCTTATCTAAGGTGAAAAGTGAGTAACTAAAACTTTAATAAAGGTTTGTTTTTTTTTTTAATTCAGGTTCAATTTTATATACAACTGAATTCCTGCGCAGAGGAGAAGTAAAAGAAGCCGTCTCTGTGAGCACAGCTATTAACTGTAGAAGAATAAACGTGATAGAAAAGTCTTTTTTTTTTTTTTTTTTTTTTTTTAATCTTTTTCTCAATGCCTAAATTTCTCCTATTGTTTGAATGATAAAGTTAATATGAAGACCTAGGTAATGATGCAGACAAATGTGATGTTTACTTTTGGTTCTACTCATACTTTTTTGTACAACATTAAAAAAGTGAACTTCTATTTGTATTTTGTTTTTTAATTTCACATTAAATTTTGGAAAACCTTACGGTTGAGGGTCATTTTTTTACCCCTTTTAGGCTGGTAAATGTCAAGACACACTAAGGGATGTGGTCAGTGGTGTTTTATGAGACCTTTGCTCTAGTACCATTCTAAGGCACAAACAAGTTCTTCAAGACTGTGCAGACATTTTTGATGAAGATTTTCCATTACTTTTAGGGACCAGCTTTGTCTGACTGAGTCTAAGGTGCAACTTGTATGTCAGACTTTATATACCAGGGCACTGATAGCAAACCTTTTAGAGACCCAAGAGCCCACACTGCAACACACTTATTGCAAAGTGCCAAAAACAATTAGACTGAAGTACTGAGGTTTTAGTTTAGGAAAAAACAACTCATGCCAGCAGCTGAGTTGACGGCTCACAGCACCACTGGTGCTGTACATTTATAGCCATCCAGGCCTTAGGTGAAGAGCAGCAGACCCTGAGCATATTAAAATTGGCTAGGTCCGCAAAGTCACGGGAATTGGTATTAAAAAAGGACCCAACTGAAGCTCATTTAGTTTTTCATTTATGTAATGGTGATATTATTTCTGCTATTATGAAACTGTGTCTAGTTATTCTTAGCAGTGGTGAAAATAGGTTTTAAACTTTTAGTTCACAAAATTATCTCAATTTGAGATATCCATAGAGATGAAAACGATTTTAGCAAGTGACAAAACATTTCAAAAATATTCAGGAGTAATCTGAAGCAACTGGATTCTAGGGCAAAGATAGGGGTCAAATTTTGTCAGCCTAAGACAAAAATACCAAGTTAAACTTTTAAAAACACTGTTCAGTTAGGATCAGCTTTGTGGGAGCAGAATCCCTGTCTGTGATTGTTTTGCATCTGAGGGAAACACTTCAGGGACCACACTTCAGATGTTAGCTCTTAACCATTCTGTGGCAATGGAAAGGTAAATTTTTCTAGGTATTATTTATAAAGGCCTGTCAGTAGTGTTTGAGGAGTCATCTAATTCAAGGCTAGCTATTCCCGTCCTTTGTAACTTAAGCTTTGACTTAGAAATTCTTTCTTGATCACTTCTTAATATAAGTGCTTGTGTCAGTTATTCATGCTGGGGCCTAGTGAGCGAAACCTTGATTGAAGTTGTCTGGGTTATTAACCTTGGGATGTAAGAGACACAGTTTTGAATGTGAAATTTATACTGCACATACCAAACACTTTACTCTGGTCAGATACAGTTGGATCCCAATACTGTTTATCCTGATACACAAGTAGAGGGATTCAGATTTTGTATGTTCTTACAAGTATTAAAAGAGAATACAGAACATTGTTTAAGATGTTTTGATGTGCCATGTGTAGTGGTGCATGCCTGTAATCCCAGAACTTTGGAGGCTAAGGCAAGAGGATGTTGGGAGTTTGAGAATAGCCTGGGTTACAAAGTGAGCTGAAGGCCAGCCTGAACAGCATAGTGAGACCTTGTCTCAAAAAAAAAAAAAAAAAAAAAAAAAAAGAAAGATCTTTGGATATGGAACTTTACTGCACTTCTTCAGGACTAATGGTTTTAAATTGTGCATTCCAATGATCTATATAGTACTGAGCACTACATAAGCTAAATACTTGGTGAACAGACATTTTTGGGACCCTATTGTGTTTTTAGTTTGTCTACAAATGAAAGCTTTCTTTTTCATTGTATAACCACAACATATATGCCATCTTATTTTCCCTGAATAATTCAAGTAGTGCATAGTCTGTAAAAATACTAAATGACATGAGAAATATTTGAATAGGGATAAAAACTAAAAAGTTATTTGAAATCATGATTGACTTACCTCTGAAGAACATTGAAATCTTTTCCCCCATAAGTGATGAAGATCATTATGATATTTTAAAAAGTTGGTAATACTTAAAATGGCTATGATAATTCTGTATATGAGTTAATACTTTTAATGCCATATTTGGAAGATTTTTATACTTGTTTTGCTTTGTTAGAAGCAAACAAATTAGCTGGTATATTTTCTTGAGCGCATAAAAGTGAGAGGTGGAGAGCCAAGTGTGTTGGTACACCCTAGCACTCTGGGAGGCTGAGGCAGGAGGATTGCCATGAGTTCAAGGCCAGCTGGGGCTACATTGTGAGCCCAAGATCAGCCTAAAAACTACATAAGGAGACCCTGATTCAACAAACAAGAAAAAAAAAAAAACCCAAAAAACAGCAGGGCAACAACAATTAACAAAAGATGTGACTACCATGCTTTTAGCTGCTTAGTGATTGTTATAGTCATTTGAGGTGAAATGCCTGCAGTAACCTCCATATGTGAGTTCCACAAAATGTTTTTACTAGTTTGTAGTATTTAGATCAGTGCGTGCTGGTCTGTAAGATGGCTTCAGAGGAGTTGCAGTTTTATATGTTATATTGCCAAACAAGGCTTAGTAGTTTCTGACTGATTTTCCCATGTATATTTCACTTGCTTTAAACATTTACTGTTTGGGTTCAATTGAACTTATTTCAAACAGCTTTTGTTGTTTATGTGGCGAGAAACATAATACTGTAATTTGAGCCATAAATTGCATTTTAACGTTAGTTCATATTTATTAAGGTTTCGTGAATAAAACTTTCTAAAGCCTGCATTAAGTCAGTTTAGGAATATTGTCTGTTGAGGGAAAGATCAATGTATTCTTCATAAACCTATTTTGGTGAAGGGTTTAGCTTGGTGGAGAGAGGATTTATTTACCTGCATTTGATCCCTAGTACCACAAAGGGAGAGAATAAATTGGGGTACTGCGTTTGTATCGTAATGTATGTGCACCACTTAAAGATCAGTTGCTTTTGAGAACATTTTGGTATTGTTTACAGGAAATGTGTAAAAGAAACTGAAGTTCTGGTTATATTTTTATATTTGTAAAGCAAGAGTTTGATTAAAATGGTCACTTTAATTTTATTGTCATTTCAATAAAATGTTTTTATTTCCATTTCAATAAAAAATATTTAAAAGGGAATGTTTGTTTGAGGTAGTCTAATGGCGGGAGAGAGTTGGTTTGCTAGCCTTAAGTCAGTAGAAACCTTGCATGACTCTTTCAGTGTCAGTGGCTGTCCCTGGGTAAGAGCTTGTCATCCATCTCTTTTTTTTGATGTGTTTAGTACCGAGTGTCACTCCATAGTTTGGACTCGTAGTGATCCTCCTGTTTTTCAGCCTCCCAAGTGCTGGGATTACAGGTGTGTGCCACCACGCCCAGTCTCAGTCTCAGTGAGCCCCAGGGGCAGGGCCATCATGCCAGTGATTGAACCCCAGAACCCTGTGTCTGCCTAAGCAGGCACTTAAGTCTGCTGAACTATCTGCCCAGCCTTCTGTCTGACTTTTCACTGAGACACAATACCCAGCAACCGGTATCTCCAAGGAGGAAAGGTTTATTTTGGCTCAGTTTGTAGTTTTCAGTTCATAGTTCACTGGCTCCAAGGCAGAGGGGTGTGGCAGAGGAGCATGGCTTTTGGCAGAGCAGCAGGAAGCCCAGAAAGGTGAAAGGAGGAGGTAGGGAGATGGACCCTTCCAGGCCCCCAGTGAGCCCTTGCCTCCTACCAGGCTTTGCATCCTAATACCACATCTAGTTACAGCTCATGGGTGGACTTGGTCCCATGGTCCACTCACCTCCCAAAAGTCCACCTTTGGGACAGGTGTGTGAGGCTTTGAGAAGACAATGAAATATAAACCACACAGCGTCATAGCAAGAGCCTGATGGTCAGGGTCAGCAGTGCTGGGCTCTCCATTGTGCTTCTGAAGCATGTTTTTGGCAGATTCAGTGGAAGGAACTTGAAGAAATTAAGGACTGCAAGTTACAATTAGGTTGTTAACTGCATGTGGTTTATATTAGTGGGGTCTTGGTTGCCTGTGCAGTGTTCACTGCTTTAGCTTTTTTTCCCCCCCTCAAATTTTCCTGAATAGTCTGTGAATACACATCATGCTTGCTGCATATGTAATTTAATTTCAGTACCTTAAATAGAAAATTTAGGGCTGGGGATATAGCTCAGTGGCCTAAGTGCCTGCCTGGCAAGGTCAAGATCCCAAGTTTGATACCAGGTACCACAAAAAAAAAAAGGAAAATAAAATTTATAATACAGGATTTATAAAGCTGTGTATAAAGCATGATCATTTGAGCCTTTTTTTTTGGGGGGGGGGACCAGGGTTAAATGAAACCTGATAAAGTTACTGCAGAATTTTGAAAAATTTATTGCTTGTATATTTATACTGGGCATCAAAGATCTATGAAAAATACGTATGAAAGAAAAGTAAAATTTTAAGGTTTCTTTTTCCCCTTATAAATTTAAAGACTTGGGTTTTTTTCTCCCTCTGCTAGATTTAGTGTGGTCTACTTTTTGAAACCATTTCATGGAAATATAGTTATGGCCACTGGATCAGTGAAGTGCAGTACCTAGGATTTTAAGACTCAGCAACACTACTCAGCCTTTTTCACTGGATGGTGAGAAAGTCATATAAATATGAAAGGGCTTTAGGTATTTTATTTTGTGTGTGTGTGTGTGTGTGTGTGTGTGGCCAGCTCAGCCCACCAGGGGGCGGGGCTGACTGGCATGTGGTGCTGGGGGATTGAACCGCGGTCCCTGTGCTCTGCTAAGCTTGTTCTAAGTAGGTGCTTTAGACCACTGAGCCATCTCACCAGCCCGACTTTAGGTATTTTTAAAAAAGGAAAATAATAATGTGTCTAGGCATGAGTCTTATTCCACAGAAACTGCTTTATCTGAAATGACAGACATTAAATACTATAAATCCAAGCCCCATGTGGTTGTGGACACCTGTAGTCCTAGCTACTTGGGACACTGAGGCAGGAGGGTGAAATTTTAAGGCCAGCCTGAGCAATGTAGGGAGACCCTATCTCAGAATTTAAAAAATAAAAAGGACGGTGATGTAGATCAGTGGTGGGGGACTTGCTTAACATACCAGAGACCTTGGGCTCAGTCTCCAGTACTTCAAGTAGACTAAATCAGAGTTGCAATCCCCAAAAGATGGCAGGAAATTCAGACTGGTAGTCACTGGGAGAG